GATAATTTTAGTTAAGAGTTTATAATGAAAATCATAGTCATATAATATACAATTTTGAAATGCTGATTTAACAATTAAGGTTTAAGTATAATTTGGAAATCAAAGTAGTGGTAGTAAATAAAAAGCCCAGAAGAACACATAAAATAGTTGTTTGAACAATATTTAAATTTAAGTTTAGTATAAACGCAAGATACTCCAAATGAAAAGCAATTAGTATATATTCCAGGGTTTATATATTTTGAATAATGAGTATAAAAATAATAAATTTTTAATTATTTTGAAAGATTGAAATGATTAATAATTATTTATATAAATAAAATGGTATTGATGTAACATGCATTGAGAATGATGAGTTTTTGTGATTTAATATTTAAATGATAAAAAAAATGATTTATAGAAAGCAGATGAAGGATTAGAATAGAATTTAATAAGGGTGATCGTTGTTGATGAGAAGATAGATGAATTAATATATGAAAATGGTTATTTGATGAATAATTAAAAATAAATAAATTAAGATTTAATGAACAATCCTCGTCCATCATAACTTCCTGCTTAGAAGGCAACACCATCACAATTACCAGCAACTACTTAATAATAAGTACCAGAAATATATGGAGCTTAATAAAATTGGGTTCCAGCAAGCTCATAAATTCAGCCAGGAGTTTTGGGTTAACCCATACCACTTTAACAGACAGGATTAATTTAAAGTCCTCAATATTTGTAGCAACCAGGATATGTTTAATAATAAGGATTGATACAATCAAGTGGACCAGTTGTCACACAAGGGAATGTAAGAATAAATATAATTATTGTATAGGCAATCAAGGGGGAATCTCGAATTGAATATATTCCATACACAAAAGAAGTTACTGAGTATGTGACTTAAGAAGTGGTTGAATATGTGCCAAGAGAGAGAAAGATTACTGACTATTATGCAGTTGAATATGTTACTGAGCATATTCCTTAAGTAATATAGGAGAAATACATTGGTATTGATATTGTATTAATTAAACGCAGAATACGTGCCAGTTGAAACAATTAAAGAGAGAACAGAGTATCAAGCAGTGACAAAATAGAGTGTCATCTAAACACCAGTAGATTATTAATAAATCTAAACAACACAATAATATTAAGGTAAATAAATTTTATTTATATTTAATTTTAGTAGCAGCCCCAGCTCAATATACTTAGACTTATACATAACCAATTTAATATTCATAAACTGTTCAATAGCCTATTCAATATACATAAACTGTCTAGTAACCAATTCAATATGCATAAACTGTCTAATAACCCATTCAATATACCTAAACTGTCCAATAACCAATTTAATATGCATAAGCAACAACCCAATTTGTACCAACTACTTAAAGTCAATATGTAACAGGTCCAGTAACAACTTCTTAATTTGTGAATCAAGCTTATACAACTCCAATTACAACATATGGGTAAGTGACATAGAATTCAGCTTATTTACCAGCAACCACATATACTTAGCCTGGGTATGGATAAGTTAGCACAACCACTTAATAATATTCGACTGGATGGTAATAAGTATATTCAGGATAAGCAGGAAATGTTTAGACTTCATTATAATAGTAAGCTGTGGGTCAATTGCAAAAACCAGGATAAAGTCCTAAGTACGCATGATGATATTATAAATAAGCAATTATTATTTATCATAATTATTCTTAAGATGTATATTTGAATGATAATTCTATGAATCATTTTGATCTAGCAAAACCAACTCTATCATTATCTCTATCGTAGACAGAATAAAATTTGCTAAGGAAAGTATCACCTAAAATCCAGGCTGGTCCTTAAGGTGATGGAATATCTAAAGGCATAAATGATCCAACACATTGGCAATTTGCTCCCATTTCTACAAAACTATCAGTACTAGCAAAGGTATCATAAGCAACCTAAATTAATGAATATTATATATACTTCATTTCCTTAAGAATCTATTTTCATCACATAATCATTAGCATCCAAATCATATTTAATACCATCTAAAACAAATGTTAATTTTGGTAATTCCTTAACGTTACTACAGTTTTCATCAATGTTCAAGGTATCTAAAATTAAAATAAAGGAATACCAAGTAAATCATATAAAGCTTCTGATGGACCAGTTAATAATGAAGTACCAGTATCAGCAACTACTTTACATCCATGTTTACAAAGTCCTACATCTTTATCATTGACTAAAATATTATCAGCATCCAATAACCAATAATATTTATTAACAACATTATGGAAATGTAATTCTCCAGTGAAATGATCATTATCCCAACCACCCAATGTTAACTCAGATGATCTAGAACCTTCTTATCTTGAAAAATAGAAAGAAAACACATTTCTGTCTAATAATTTCTATTGCATAATGTTATCAAATAATGGGTTGAAATTATAAGCAGCCATTGTTGGATATGCTAATCCAACAATACCATCAAAATCTGATTATGCAAATACATCACCATTCTCTCTTACTATTTCTGCAAATTCTTATTTAGCAATCTTTACTCCACCAACATATGCAGTATCAGCATTAATCTAATAATTTATGCTATTTTTATATACTTCTCCCATCAATTCTCCTGTTCCGAATTCTACATCTAAATCATAACCTAAATGTTCATAAGTTGAACTCTTTGAACCATCATATTGCTTATGATTTTTACATCCATAATCATTANTATGAATCATTTTGATCTAGCAAAACCAACTCTATCATTATCTCTATCGTAGACAGAATAAAATTTGCTAAGGAAAGTATCACCTAAAATCCAGGCTGGTCCTTAAGGTGATGGAATATCTAAAGGCATAAATGATCCAACACATTGGCAATTTGCTCCCATTTCTACAAAACTATCAGTACTAGCAAAGGTATCATAAGCAACCTAAATTAATGAATATTATATATACTTCATTTCCTTAAGAATCTATTTTCATCACATAATCATTAGCATCCAAATCATATTTAATACCATCTAAAACAAATGTTAATTTTGGTAATTCCTTAACGTTACTACAGTTTTCATCAATGTTCAAGGTATCTAAAATTAAAATAAAGGAATACCAAGTAAATCATATAAAGCTTCTGATGGACCAGTTAATAATGAAGTACCAGTATCAGCAACTACTTTACATCCATGTTTACAAAGTCCTACATCTTTATCATTGACTAAAATATTATCAGCATCCAATAACCAATAATATTTATTAACAACATTATGGAAATGTAATTCTCCAGTGAAATGATCATTATCCCAACCACCCAATGTTAACTCAGATGATCTAGAACCTTCTTATCTTGAAAAATAGAAAGAAAACACATTTCTGTCTAATAATTTCTATTGCATAATGTTATCAAATAATGGGTTGAAATTATAAGCAGCCATTGTTGGATATGCTAATCCAACAATACCATCAAAATCTGATTATGCAAATACATCACCATTCTCTCTTACTATTTCTGCAAATTCTTATTTAGCAATCTTTACTCCACCAACATATGCAGTATCAGCATTAATCTAATAATTTATGCTATTTTTATATACTTCTCCCATCAATTCTCCTGTTCCGAATTCTACATCTAAATCATAACCTAAATGTTCATAAGTTGAACTCTTTGAACCATCATATTGCTTATGATTTTTACATCCATAATCATTACATCTTGCTGAATTTAACCAAATATTAGCAGATCCTGTATCAAAAATAACCTAACATAAATTATACTTATACCTTAAATTTGTTATCTTAACCACCTAATCCAATCTCTCCTGTATATTATGTATTCTTAAAGTTGTATAATTTTATTGATTCCTTTTATTTTGTCTATGTCATCTCTATATCTGATTCTCCCAACAAATCAGAACTCTTTCTGTATTATTAACTTGTTGTAATAAAATCAAATAATGATTTTCTTGCTTATGATTCTGTTCTATCCAACTTGATCTTATATATTTTATTTTCCATTGGTTGTTGCTCTTCCAAGAAAGAAGCACAATTACCCAATACCAATAAGATGGTCAAACCTAATACCAATTTCATTTATTTATTAATCACTAAACAAAAACGATATTTTTTTTCAAATGCACCTAAAATAACTGAATCCAATTATTTTATTATTATCTTATTATTTAATCATTTGCTACAACATTATTAATATATTCTTAAAATTGTTATTTATATTTTATTTCTACAATCTCCACAATTATTAATTTAAATTATGAACACCGACTAAATTTAAAAACTTTGGGATTCATTTAGTCATAAATATACTGCCATGCAAAAGAACCCTTCTGTCTTCTGTTTCACACTCTTAAATATGTTGCGTATAGAAGATTCCTATTCGTAAATATTCATTTATATACTTTAAGTATTATTGATGCTGGTTGTGGAGGAGGACATCTACACTAATATATTGTAGAAAAAAAGAATCCTTAAGCTACTTTTGTTGCATTTGATTTCTCTAACTAAATGGTCAAAATTACAGCTGCTAGGATGCATAAATACCTTACTTAAAAACAAAAAGGAAGCATCGACTCTCTTACTCAAGAAGAAATAGATAATGTTAATTTAAGTAATATTTAAAACTTAAGAAGATTCTGAAATCTTTAATTAAATTAATTATTCAATATAATAGGCAAATATCCAAGAACTAAATTAATTCCAAGATAATACTTTTGATACATATATTTCCAACTTAGTTTATCATCTAATCCCAAATCCTCAATAAGCAATGGCTGAAGCCTATCGTATACTTAAACCTGGAGGTAAATTCGGTATCACAGTATGGGGATCTAAAAATAATAGCAAAGCATTGACTATTTATTAAGAAGCTTTAATAAGAAGTGGAATTCTTGAAAAACCATAAGGACCTTCCAAATTTTTGGAAAGCACTTAACCAATTATTGAAATGGCACAATTATAAGGATTTACTAACATATGTAATATTTTATAAATTTATTTAGATTGTTGGACATAATCTAATCCTTTTGACAATTTTAGTCTTGATGACATAGGCAAATTTTCAAATCCAGAAGTTTTGGAACTATTAAAAAATTCCCCTTAAGAAAAAGTGTAATAATTTGAAAACATAGTCTGTGAGATTTTGAATTAGGAAAAGCAAAAACATTAACCATTATTTTTAGAATGCATTTTATTAGTAGCTACAAAAGCTAATTGAGAAATTATATCATATAAATAAATATATAAAATAAAAAATTGCACTGTACGAGACTCGAACTCGTGTCACAAGGATGGCAACCTTGTATACTACCCTTATACTAACAGTGCTTGATGATAAATCACAAAAGTTTAGATTGATAAATTGTAGTTAAAACACAATAATGGAATTGATTAAAGTAATTTAGTTGATATTAAAAAAATAATGAATATTTTATATATTGTTTTATGGATGATTTAATGAATCAACGGGCAAAATAATCAAATGGCTCTTATTCATCTTCATAATTAGCTTTCCATAAGTCTTATGGACCTTCCCATTATTCTGTTCCTGGAATGAAATCAGTATTATGGGTTAGGTTTTAAGCTGTCTCTAATTTAATTTTTAAATTTTCTATTCCTAAACCAATATGTTTAGCTAATGGTGAGCCTAAGCCATATATTATTGAAGTTGGAGGATTCTATATGATTAATAGATATGTTTACTTTAATTCCAAAAAATTAAGCTGTCTTATCTAGATTATCAACATTAATTCTATAGAATTTGAATCCAACGAACTGATTAGAAACGTAATTATACATTTCATTAACTTATGAATAGCTATGTTAATAAAATATGTACTATGGATGTCCAACTTAGTTAAATAAGATGCAATGTAAATAGGGTTTTGTTTAATAAATTGATGATAACAATTCTTTCAAACTACCCACATCTTACACTCTATTAGCCTTACTTGAAGCTATTAATTCAGCATAGGAAGTGGAAAATCCAAATTTGAATGGATAAACTTTCTTAAGCAGATTGCCTGTAATCATTATTAATATTTATATAAATCATATAATACGAAGTTCAGCTAATATCTATTGAAATTTTGAGATATCTAATGGTTTATGTAAAATATTGAGCATTCCAGCTTCTTTACATTTCTCAACATCTTCATTACTGGTAAAAGCAGTCAATCCAATAATAGGGATATTAGGTATTTATTCATTTTACATCATTACTCTCAATTTTTTAGTAGTCATCCAACCATCTAAAATTGGCATTTGACAATCCATTAATATAAAACGATATCCTAAACATGATGAACAACATTTAGATGGGTGTAATACTTTTTCAATAGCTTGTCTTCCATTAAATACCTATCTTAACATTATAATATTTATACAATATCCACATTAAATCCTTATTATCTAAGTAATAATTATAATGATTTTTAATTAAACACTTCATCATCAACACTTAAAATAGTATTACAACATTGTATTCCTTATTATAAATTACTTAAACCAGTCTCATTAACAGATAATTAATAAGATCCTTCTCTTATACGTTACCAAACAGATTATTTTTTTTAGATACTTTATTAATATGGACTTCTTTTATTTAATATATCAATAGAACGATGCTTTATTTCATATTGACTTACCTTTTCTCCAACTTCTCTTATTGATGAACTAGATAAATCACATTCCTCTAAATCTGTTGTTTTTGATAACAATATCTTACTTGGTGACTTTGATTTTATACAAATCAATAATCCATACTCTGCTCTCAAAGTAGGCATACTTCTCATTCTAGGAAGCAACTTTTTATTACATTAACTATAAACTTATTCTTAAGTCTATGCTGCTATATGATTTGATATTGTAAAAGATACTTTTGTACCACAATCCTAACCATCAGATTCTATCTAAATACTATTTCTAGTTATAGGAGATAAATATCTTAATAACATTTGACATATTATCAAACCAAATCCTTACCATTCCTACATTTTAATTGAAGTTTATTATTCTTAATTTATTATTTCCCTTATTTAATATAATTATTTTTTTGTTAATCCTACACCTTCATCTTTTATTGAAAATTCTATCTCATTTTTCTCTAAACTCTCAATACTCACTAAAACATAACCTTTTTCTGAAAAAGTAAGAGCATTTTATATAATATTTGTTAAAACTTATAATAATCTTTAATAATCTGTTTTAATCAGAGTAAATAGAGATGTAGGTTTGATTATTTCAAATGCAAGACCAATTTATTTAAATTCAAATTAAAATTTAAATTGATCAGTCACTTCATTTATTATTTTTTAAAGTTCAAATTAACTGAATTTTAAATCTAATAATTTAGCATTTATTTAACTAAAATCAACTATATCATTAATCAAATGATTTTATAATTTTAAAGCACATAAACAAGGTTATAAATATTATTCCTTTATTCCTTAGTTTAAATTCTAATCTCCTATTGCAGATCTTAAAAAGATAGTGGCACTATTCAGAGGTGTTCTTAATTCATGAGAAAAAGATTACACAACTTTTGTCTTAAATTTATTTTACTCTTCTAATTTTGACAATTCATTCTATTTTGTAAAATCCTATATAATTATCATATAATCAATATTCTATCTCTCTTAGAATAGAACTCTACAATCAAAAAATATTTATTTTTAATTCACAGGACTTTCAAATGTAGAAAATAGTTCTATTATTTTATCTTTATTATTAAAATATCTATCAAAAGATTCTTCTTCTAATTTTTTTATTAGATCAAAAAGACTATAATGTTCATCTTCAAAAAAGGGAATATTTTATCTCATTTTTTATTACTAATTTTTTTCATGTTTTAATATTGCTGATTATGGCAAATCATATGATTCAGCATAATCAATCCTTTTGAATAATAAAGTCTTCATAAACAATTCATAAATATTTTCAAGATTGTCTTCTTACTCTTCTATAAAATTTTTTTTGATCATATTAACTAAAGTATTATTCATAAACTTTGGTTTGATTTAATTGTTGATTATACAAATTCCTATCGGCATAGCATTCATTCTCAATCTCCAAACTTATTCATTAAATATATTGATTTCTTATAAGACAAATTATTTATCTTAACTTGATGCTATTTTACGAATTAATTAGTTTATATCAATAGAGTTATTTTGATCTAAGTTTGTTGGAATGAAATCCATCTCTTCAATCTTAGAGCGAATTTATACATAATCTCTTGTAGTTGGTTTATGATTTATATATATGCTATGTTCTTCTTTCTTAGCTGTCCAGTATTCTTTGTAAATTTAGAATATTTGTGGAATTAAATGCATTATTGGAATTAAGAGAGTAAGAGAAAGTTATGCTGAATCACTTTATTTATATTTAAGATACACTAATATTATTGCTCCTAAACCACTAAATAATCTCAATAATGTTATCAATTTTTTAGAATTTTAAATCTTTTCAATGAAATAATCATCCATTGCAAATTATAAGATGCTTTCATTTTATTGAGATAATACTCCACATAAAAATAATATTACTTTATGTACTAGAATTCCCTAGCTAACATATTTATTCATTTTTAATGCAATTAAATTCAGTACACAACAGACTAATCGGATTGTTTATATTGCTTCAAACCAAGTAATTATCTGTATTATTGAAATAGTAAATGAAACAGCAAAATAACTACCTAGTTTTTTCATAATTAATTATAATAATATGAAGTTGTAATTTATTTCCTAAACTTTCTATTTATGTATTCAAATAAATTTCTAAAAATACTTATTAAGATCAAAATAATAATCCTATTAGAATTGACATTTTAGAATATAAAATAAATAAAAAATTTAAAATGGTTTTATTATTGCTGAACTAAAAAATTACGATGGGATATATTTTATACACTTTATATCTAAATTTAAAAAAATAATAAAATTATAGAATTCCTTTAATTATGGTTTAATTAAGGGAAAAGGAAATTTTGAATATTAAAAATTAAGTAACCGCATTTTATATATTCAAAGAGATTAAAAACTTAACAATTTAATCTCATCTCATCATTATTTTTATATCAAAGATCACAACATAATTATTTTATATTATGTGTGTTCGAAAATTAAATTATTAGATTTTATGTTGCTCTTTTATATTGATGATATCTCTAACATAATTCTATATAATAATACCTTTAATTTTTTATTTTCAACAATCTCTTCAGTTTATTGTTTATTAAATGTTAAATCATTTGCTGATTAAGTTTATTTGATAAACTTCTTGTCACTTCTTTTTGATTAATAGGATGTAAAAGGCTTATTCATTTTATTATTAATATGTGAACGTAGTTGCCACTTCTATCTATTATTGAATGACTCATTAGGCTAATTCAATAAATTTTCATTCATCAAATGACTAGATTTAAAACTCTTTGTAGGTAATTTAGTTTAGAAGTATTATAACTCATAAGGAACATTCTTTAAACGTTAAGCTCTTTTACTTTCCTACATAGGAGCATATAACTTAATTCTTTTCCCTGAAGAAATTGTGATAGTTGTCATAGTTGGTGTATTCATTAATTCATCTGACTTAACAGATCTAGTTGTTTTAGAATAGCATCCTTAATAATGTTTATTAGATATGCTATGCATTGGACTATTCATTCTGAAATCTAATTCTAATCTCACACAATTTTCAACTTTTGGCAAGATATAAAGCTTTCGATTTAAATTTTCTTATTACATTAAAATAATGAAAAAAATATCATACAACTAATCTTAGTTTTTAATTTAGGTCTTTTTTATGTTGAAAATTATATAATTTAGATTTACAGTATATTACATCAATCTAAGTTATTATTGTAACTGTTCCAATTTTGTAATATATCATCTTGGATAATTAAAAACATTTATTAAGCTTGTTTAATAAATATTATTATATGTTTGATTTATAATCATAAAAAAATATTCCAAAAATTATTACTAATCAATGAATTCTAAATGCGCTTTAATTCACAGATGGATCATTAGTTGAAAAGATCTCATGGATTGATTTACTCACATTTTTTCTATTATGAAAACTAGGTAATTTAATACTACTTGTTCGAGGTTATAGTCTAAAATTTAAATTTGACTGATGTACAGAAGTTCGAATAGAACTCCTTCTATCTTATCTAAATTAAAAATTAACTAAACAAAATAATATTATGTCTTTACCTGGTTTTTCATATTTCTGTAAAAAATCGAATTCATGTTTCCTTTAGTGAGGTCTATAAATCTCTCTTGAATTATCATGGAATTAAGACATTATAGGTTTTATTCCATCATAAGTTAGCTTTCTTAAATTTTTCATTTAGTTGATTCTTTAATTCAGTGTAATAGCAGTATTATTCGACATAAAAATCAAATAAATTTTATTATTATTAATACTATATCCAATAATCAATAAACTTAATTAACATCTTTTTTCAATTTGATCAATAGTGAATTCTACTCTTAATTATTATTCTTTATCTAAAATCTGATCTAGAATTCTTTAACAAAATCAATATTCAATGTTTAATCAAATTAAATCTATAAAAAATTTAGTACTTATTTTTCATTCTTAGTAAAATAAACTTGTAAAGCAAAACTTTTAACAAATAAATAACAAATTTATCAAAACATGATGAATCATACAAATATTTTATAAAAATTTTTAAGTTTATATTAGTCTCTTTGAAATAATGAAAAATAAAAACTATTTAGTTATGAAAAGTAATTATAAAAATCATATATAAAAACTTTGTTTTTATTTATTTACTTGTTTGCAGAGATAGATAATATGAAATTGAGTTTATTAATTACTATTTTAACACTAAGCAAGATTTTGATTTAAGTAATCATTAATTTTTGAATTCTAATCTAATAATATTAGAAATTAAAGCTGTGTCAAGTATTTAATTAAATTGATTTAAAGTTTTTATTTTATCAATTAAAATAGATTTGATTGAATAGGATTTATATATTATCAAATTTCTAAATATATTAATTGTTAATTTTTTGTTTTTATAAAATGATATTCTTTGAGAAGTGTAAATTTATAAAAATTTTAAAAATGTATAATCTACATTGCATATTGATTGCAATCCAAAATAAGAAAATTATCCTCTGAAAATAGGCCAAATAGATAATTTTTAGATATGTTCAATGATAATAAAAAAAAATTATTAGAAATAATAAAACCTTTTTACCATTCTAAAATTAGATTCTTATTCTTTTTATCATTAATCCAGGAAAAAGACTACTTTTTAGGGAAATAACATATGAAAATAATTATGGACATTATGCTATCTAGTCTAATGCCATCTTGCTTTATTCATCATCATAATTATGGCAAAGAAGACTTTTATGCATATTGAAAATAAAACTCGTTAGAAAAGTGAGAATTCTTTATAAAATAAGTTAATCATATTTTATTGATTCATAAATAATTTGCTGATATGGTTACAAAGTTAGATGGTCTCATTAGAAAGAATAGTGACATCATTTCACTTAGATTATATTTGTACTTAAAATGATAACATTAATTTTCATTCATATGAATAAGATAAAAATATTAACGACATCAATTTTGTTATTATTGCTTTTGGTTTTATGCATTCAAAATAACAACTTAAACTCAAATTTCTTAAAATTATACCATAAGGAATAAAATTTAATTTCCGGAAAAATAGTTTCCTAATATGGATTAGGAATCTCAGCAAAATTAGAAATCTAAATTGATAATCATAAATTATCAATTGAATCTAATAAGGAAGGAGTGTATACATTTAATTACGCAGAAGGTAAGCTCAATTAATAATACAGCATCTCAATAATAATTACAGAGCTAAATCTTGGTGTTTTATATAGCAATCCAATTGCTTAACAAAATTTTATACTTAAAGAAAAAGTTTAAATACCCAATATTGTATTGAATGAAGGAGGGTATGGAGCTCTTGTGATTAAAGGATAATTTAATGAAAAATTGAGTGATACACATTTATCATTAATTTTGGAAGAAAAAAATAAACAACTCTAATCTAATGCAATTACAACATCATTAGGACAATTTGAATTTCATATATTTGGTATCTAATCATTACCAAAAAATGCTCTATTATCTGTTTTAGACAATAATTAACTATACGAACCTATTCAATCTTTGTAAATTACTTTATAAGGGTCAGCTACAATTATATAATTAACATAAATTCAATTATAGTAATCTAAAAGTATTTAAAATCAAGAGTATTTAGGTTGTAGATTAATAGGATGCAAATCTTGCTATCCTAACAATTAAAAATGCCAAGAATGCGATTTTGGTTATAAATTAGAAAGCAATCAGCTTTGTAAATTTGGCAATTTTAAAGGCTTTGGAACAGCTAACCTTCAACTATCAAATTTAGGTCCAATGATGAAAATTGTAGGAACTTTAATAAATTTAGATTTCAAACCTATAATTAATAGTCTTATTTGTATACAATCAGATAATATATGTGCGGCTACAGGAGGTACTAATCGTTATGGTAAGAAATTTATATTATTTAAAGGTGAATTTGAAATAGAAATATCAACTTTAAAATAAGGACAATTAAAATATTTGTTTATCGTTAATAGTTTTAAAAAAGAGATTTTATTATATGGAAATGAAAATGTTCTGAACTTAGGAAAAATAATTATAAATTGATTGATACTATTATTAAAAATATCAGTATAATATTTAATTTTAGTAATTTCATAATAAAGTCAATAAATATTTTTTTATTTCGTTGTACCATTAATGATATGGTATTTTTTATTCAACATATTCATCGAATAGATGGGAAACCTTAGAATCAAGGATTTTTTCTTCATTTAAATTTAATTTAACACATTAAGATGTTAAATTAAAGAAATCCTATTATATATTTTAATTTAAATGTACTTTATAGATATTTCTTTGCACAAGCATTGGTTATTCATTTAGTTAAACTTTTTTAAAATTATAGCTGTTTCTACAGCAAGTATTTAAAGTTGTATTATAGTTTGTATCCTGTAATTCGCACTCTAAAAGTGTAAATTAATTCACATCATAAAGATCATCTGCATGCAAATATCTTTTTTAAGATGAAAATTAATTTTTTTTTGAATCTTTTTAATCATTTAAAGACTTCTGCTTAGTGTTAATAGAGTTTGCATTTTAAAGAAATGGGGAATTTGTTATTTCTTTTAATACTGATTATTATTTCTCATATACTTAATCACTAAATTATTTATTTTCTGATTTTAATTATCTTATTTGCAATCTTTAACTACTTAATTCATCCTTCATATCTAAAATACAATTTATTTTTACTTTTTATTATTGCTTCTTAATGCTAAATTAATTATGAGTTTGACACTAATTATAATTAATAATCCTATTTATTTTATGAAATTATTGATTTGAGAGACAATATTTAATGCTTTTAATATTCGTTTTCAATTTATAATTCTTTAAATTCTAATTAAAACTACATAACATATTATTAATCTCCATTTGTTTGCTTTGATTCTAACTACCATAAATTTGACTATTTTATACTTAGTTTTTGTATATTGCATTTATGATTTATTATTATTTCAATTCCTCTTCTAACATTAACAGTTTTTCATATAAAGCGTCTTATTTTTATAACAACTCATCTTAAATACGCTAAATCAAATAAATTATTATACTTGCATTTACATTTGCTATTGTAAATTGAAAGCTATTTCTGCTCTTAAAGAATCATTTTAGCTTTCTAATTCTTATTGTTGATCTTGTCTTTCATTATTTATAATTCTTATCTTCTCCAATAGAATCTCTATTGTATAATTAATTATTACATGTTAAATCGATTAATTGATAAACATTTTAGGTAACTTCTTCCTGATTTTTATAGTGAAGCTCATTTGAAATGGTATCAATGAACTTATTTACTAATTCTTCTTCAGACATTTTTTAACAGAATAATATAAATAAATAATTAAAATCACATTAAAATTTATCAAATACATTTTAGAAATAAAATTAAAAATATTATTAAACAGTCATTAATAGAACTTAAATTATACAGAATCATTTTTTATTCTAACCTAGTATTTAAAAAAGCATATTTACAAGTATTAGAAAATGAATAAAATTTATAATATAATAAATTTGTTATTTTTTAAAAAAGTCATAATTTCATAATACATAAAATAATTTTATGATTAAATTATGATGAATATATATAATTCTTTATCTTGTCAATATATTTAAGTAAATTTATCTTATACTTCTTCTAATTTTTTTTCAAATATCTTCTTAAACTCTTCTAAATTAGATTTTATCTCTATAAAATAATTATTTTTTTATTAATCAAGCAAATTACTATTGCATAATTAATTTTATATATAAATCTGGAATTGATTCTGATTTTTCATCCTCTAATAAAATTTTAATGTAACATTAATCTTATGATCCCAAAATAATGAAGAGGAAAATTTGATCTCAAAGAAATGTGTTCTTCTTCTTTTAGTTCTTAACTTTTAAAGCTTCCTTGACTTCATCTTAAATAAGGTAAAGGATTTTCATTTTTCAATCTTCCAGTTAACAAACCTGTCTTTAAAACAAAAATCTTGAATGTATTGTTAAATAAAGGTTTCAAAAAGCTTTATTGATCTTCTTAATAACATATATAAAGCAAATCATAATATTAGTAATTTACAATAATTGTAATAAAATACTTCAAATAATATTTATAAAATTATAAATAAGTGAGGTTAACTACGTAATTAAAATTTTACTAAATTAGTTCCTTTTCTTTCAGTTTTTAAAGTAGAAAGGCATTCATGAAAAATTTTTGTAATTTTTTTATTTCATTTTATTAATTTATTGATACATATAATTTAATCAATTAAAATAGATGAGATAGGTTTTAGGAGAACTAAAAGGACATACAAATAAAGTCTTATTTTATTAATAGGATTAAAAAGATCCAAATTTATTTATAAGTGCTGCTCTAGATGAAAAAATAATTATTTGGGATTTGCAAAAGAATTTGGTACTTTTTTAGAAAAAGTGTGAAAATGGATTACCTTCAGCAATAGCTATTAATTATCCTTTATATGCACTTTCTTATAAAAAAGATGGCAAAACAAGAATAGAAAATGTTACAGAGAAATCAAAAAGTATTGTGTTATCAAGAAATTTAAGAGAGGTCTTTTTCTTATAATTTTTTAAAGAGTAAATAATTGTGGGAAGTCATGATTTAAATATTTGCATTTGGGATTATAAGAAATAAATAATAATTAAAGCGATTTAAGTAGAACCTATTTAAGAATTAATATAAAATAGTTATTATCCAGAATAATTGATACACATTTCATATGCTGGATTAATCAAATATATCAATTTCGTAAGAATGAGATTAGAAAATGTATTTACTATTAGAGGAGCTTATGAAATACAATTATCAAATAATAGATTTTTCTAAATTGTTACCACGATGGGTCCTCCTGCGAAATTTATATTATTAAATAATAAAAACAAAATGTTAAGGATCTATTTATAAAAAATTCCTTCATCAAATTGCGTTTTTTCAAAAATCAATAATGATATTTTTTTTAAAAAGTTAAATTTGCTATGTTAACTTGATATAAAAACTTAGTAAGAAACAAATATATTTAACCTATAACCAGATGAATGGATAGATACATTAAAACAAGGGGAATTATTAGTTATCAGCTAATAAAAACTAACAAAAATAAAAGTATGATATTTAGATTGATAACAATAATTTATTAATTTATAATATCTAATTTTATAATAAATTAAAAATAAGATTAGGCTAATTAGATACTTTTTTATAAAATTGTAATTTTATTATAACTTAATAAATAAATAATAACTAGAGTTTTATATCAGGGATTATTTTCTTAATATACAATAACTTATGATAAAAGGCTTTCTATTTAATCTAATCTTTCAGTCATATTTTTTCCATCAATAACTGATTCTGGAAACCAACTAGTATCATCTTATTTTATTTTTTCATAAATCCAATACTCTAATCCTGTATATTCAGTCCATTCCTTTAACTATAAACATTTAACATAAAACACATAATTCCAAATTAGATGTTTATCTTAGATATGTTACTCAAATGATTAATTTTTATTTTCCAATTCACCTCTTTAAGCTGCACATATAAAACATCTATTTTTTATGTCTTCTTCAATTTTTTATCTTTAATCTCTTAACTCTGCAAAAGTGTCTATCATTATACCTTAAACAATATTAGTAAAAAGTAATCCAAAAAAGACAGTAAAAAGCATATCAAAGAAGAATTTTAAAGGATCCCAATTGATCATACTATTTCCTATAACTCCAGAAGTAATAAGTGTTATCATACAAGTAATTAATGAATCACATGTTTCAGTTTATTCTTCTTAATAGATATCATCAAAATAAACACTAAAACTTATAACTGAAAAGGCAAATACAAAAAGAACTCCTAAAAAAGCAACAACTAATAATTGTTTAGCATTATAACTAATAGCTTAAAATACATTTTTTAAAATAGCTACTCTACTAAATATTTCAACTAAATGAATCACAAATACTGTGCTATTAATAAAAGCTCCAAAAAAGGATAATAATACCAAAATAAACAATAATAAACAAGTATCTTCTTAAATAAATACCAATAAAAGACTCAATTTATCATTTCCTTTACTATTTTTTTTTAAATAAATTGGAATTCTTTAGAAACTAACCATTATAAATAAAATAATTTATGCAAAGAGTTAGCTCACAGATAACATTTTTATTATTAATGAATTATACAATGTTGAAGTTAATAAGAATGTATTTCCTTTTACAATAACTGTATAGAAAAAGATCTAACTTTATTATATAAAAACGTACCATTGATAAATTTATCAGCAAAGCAAGGATAGAGGATAAATTTTACATCACATTTAAATTATTCTAAGTTATAGGAATTCTATAATGGTTTAATTTATAGTTATGTTCTAAATCATAAAATAAAATGTTTGTTGCATTGAGCAAACCTAATAATTTATCTCTTTAGGTTTCTCTATTAATTTAAAAAAGCAAATCTTCTTTTGATTATTCGGATAATAAATTGAAAAGGGGATGATAAGGAAAAAACACTGTCATGGACTTACCTTAATATACTATTTCAATGTGGTGAATCTATATTTTATAGAATATTTTATACTAAAATTATTAGATGATCATATATAGCTTTTATTGTAGGATTAACACTTAATTGTTCATGAAATTATTAAATCCATCGACTCTATTCATAAGAAGCCATTTTTTATTCAATAATACATACATTTAATATTCTAAGCATGTCTGAATTAAATATCTTATCTTATTATAATAAGTATCTATAATTGATGGTTAATGAATTTATACATTTCAAGATCATTTATATTGCTAATATTAAGTTGTTCAAAACTTAAACTTAAGAAGCTTATTAAAAATGAGGCTTCTAATTTATTCTAAATATCTTTATATATCTTTTCTTCGTTCCCTTCTAATACTAATAATACAGTCTGGAGAATTTTATTAAACAATTCTTATAATTCTTATAAGTCATCTTCAGTATCAAATAATCTTTATAGCTAATTAGAATTATTTTTAAAGAAATGGGCCATATTGCTAACATCTTCAAAAAAAGTAGTGTGACATAATGTTATTTAATTTTCAATACAAGGTAATTGAATTACCTCATTAATAAAATCAAGGATAGATGCAGGTATGATAATGATAGCTCTAGATAATATTTTTAGATATGTTCTTAATTATACACTTGTGAACTCAATGAAATTAATAGAATTTATTCTTGTAATATTTTACTAAAATTAATAACATTATCAAAATACCTCATCAGTTTATCTTCTAAAAAATTCTTTCATTTCACTATTATTATTTTCACAAAGTAATTGCATCACTCTAAAAAATCTACACAACACATCCAAGCACTATTTTTTGAAATTGGTTTCTTTATAATCATCAGGATCAACTACATTTACTCTTTGCATTACTTTAGTACTAGTATTATAAAAGTCATAGTTATCAACAGTTTAAATAAAATCACCACTTTTAGTATTGTGATACATAACCATAGAGAAATTATTATTTATAACTTTAGTTAGTTTAGTGATGATAACTTTAATGTTTATTAATATTTAATTTTGAGAATCTTATTTTAATTTCTCTAGAATTGCATTTTATGCTTATGTATTTCCTCCTAACAAAAATGCTATTGAAAATAATAGACATTCATTTAATAAAGTTAAGTTAATTTCTAAGAAGCTTTCTGATAAAATGAATAAAATCAAATCTTAAGCTCCACATTTGGTAAGTAAATTTTAAGCATGATTAATTTCTTGTTTATAATCAATCCAAAATTCACTTGTCCAAAGATCAACTTCAACCATTTTTTATTTATTACTAAGATTATTTTCTGTTATTAATCTACTTAATAATCTTAAAAAGAAAATTCTAATATCATCTGAAAATTATTATTCTCTAGTGTTTGCACAAATTGAAATTATATTTTATATAAAATCTTAAAGTGTTGTGACTTCATATTTTGTTTAATAGGCATCTTAAGATTATTTACCAATTTAAGATAATTTATTACATACTTCATGAAATTCTTCATCTAAAAACTATGAAAATTATGGTATAAAACTCCAATTCTTCATTATTCTCCTTAATTTATGATTAATCAAATCATTCATATCCTATTTACCTGATTTAGCTCTATTTTTGGATTAAGTTTTCCAAAACTCTAAAGTATTTTGTAATTTAGATTCTTTAATAAATTATTAATCTAAACTAAATACTTGATGAACTAAATATTATTTAACAGATAAATCTTGACTATTTTATAATAACTATTTATATATTTCTCGATTTTTCTATATCTAATATAATCTATTTATTTAAGTCTTTGTAAGATCTTATTGATTTTGTACTTTTAAGTATTAAGATAAGATAGTTTCTTCCATCATGCTTAAATATAAACCTTCTCTCATTAATAGTACTTTTATTTCAAATCCTGAGATAATACTTTAAAATATATCTAATAACAATTAGCATAAATGTCCTAGATTTTCTTTAGCATAAATTTTTTCAATAATTTATAGCTTTTGACAAATTTCGAATAGTTAAAGATGTAATTTATATATTGAATTCTATGAATTAAAAAGTATTAATTCTTCTAAATATTCAAGGAATTATTCATTTAAAAAAAGACTATTTAAGGATATTAAAATTTCCTCCAAATTTAAATAAATATAACTCATTAAGTATTTGTATCTTACAGGTGCTTAAATAATAGTCATTGCCATATATGAATATTATGGTAATATTAAATAATCAATAGTTTTTTATAAATCGTCAATTATAGTAAGTAAATCAATTTTGATAATAAGATCGAAATTATCACTTGCTTTACTATAATATAATCTATTGATATATGCTCGAAGATGTCTTTTCAAAGGCCAGCAATCCTGTGCTTAATATAATAAGACTATTAAGTCTTCAAACTTATGAATTTTCAAACATTTTTTTATATTAATTTGGTGTTTCTCTTCAACTAGTTAGCTAAAAACAGCAAAAAATTTATAAAGATATGTTAATTCTGGAGATATATAAAGTTCATGAAATCCATAACCTATATTTTCATACCCTTTTTAATAATCTTCAATCCACTTGTTAAATAATTCTTCAGTTATGAATGTTTCTGAGTCTGATTAGCCATCTAAAGATGAAGTAACATCGCTAAAACTATTATCTTCTTAAGATATGGGTGTTTGTTCAATATAAATACTAAATCGTAAAATAATTTTGTTGTACTATTTTTCTTGAAATTTCTGAAGAATTTAGGTTTAGTTAGATGTAATATAATTTGAATTAGATAACAATAAAACTTTTATGAAATCTAATATTTTTGATTTAAAATAATTATTAATAGATTAATCATTACAAACAGGTACAACTGATTGCAATATAAATGAAACTTCCCTCTCACTATAAAGCAATTGCTTATTATCAGCATATAAAACTTTTAGAAAATCAATAGCTCCAATATTAAATTTTAAATGTTATTCGATACTTTGAATCAATTTTTTATTACTCATGATGACTTATTTATTTTCAGAATTATTCCAAATAAGAATTGTTAGAAAATCATAAATTGAATGTAAAAGTTTCCAATAGATAGTTGAGTAATCTAAATTAAAATTTTAAATAAAATCTAATAATGGTATGTGTATTTCTTAAGCCATTAAAATTGTTTAATGTAACTTGTAATTTTATTCTCTTTCGCAAAATGCAATAGTTGAATGATTATCTGGCTTATAATCTTCAAAATTTAGAGGATTTAAAGATCTTCCTTTGTCAAAGTCTTTCTTTAAATACATTCCTAATTGAAATAAATTTTATATTAGACCAGCTTTTTAGTGTTCATTTGAATGATACCAAATTACACTTGTTCTTATGTTATTACTTGATTCTTTATACATTGTATAAAATTCAGACTAATATAAAATATCTAATTTATTCATGATTTATTTTGTTAATTAACTTAATTCTAATGTTTTACCAGAAACAACTATAATAACCTTTTCAAAATTTTAAATTAATTCTTTTCTTTACCCATATGCTCTTGATAAGATTTCTACAGAATGTTTAGGTAGATATAGATTTTCATAAAATGATAATTCTGCAAAAATTAATTCAAAATTTTCAAAATTAGAAAGTGATCTCTCAGTGATTATTTATCTAAATTAATTAATCCAATTAGTAATATCATATAAACTTTTTTCTTCAGAAGCATTTTAATCCTTGAATTTTTATTTTATCGCTTTTATAAATGCTTAATTTTATTTTGGCAATTTATTAAAAGTATTACTTTCTTTAACACTCTATGGATTTTCACAAACATTAGGTAAATAAGGATCAACTAATTCTAATTACAAAAGTTATTCTTTAAAAGATTTTGAGCACATAAATACTCTAATATTATTTTCTAAATCAAAAATGGTATTTATGATTTCACAAGCAAGCTGTTTGCATGTCATAAATATATTATTTGTTTCATTTAGTCTAGTAGATTTTATTTTTTTATGAATATGAGTTTCTTTTTCTTCACTTTGATAAATTTTACTTAAATGAATATTATTATTTGAGCAAGATTAAGGATTGGGAGTTTCAATTTAATCTCTAATCAAATTAAAATTCTTTATGCTTGAACAAATATTATACATAGCAGTCAATATAACTTTAATTTAATCCATATCAACCCAAAATTACATTTCTATAGAACATTTAAGTACCTATAATACTGATTATAAGTTTTTTGAAAATTCAATATTATTATGCAAAAGATCAATTTTCTCTAATTATTATAATAGAAAACCCATTACATCTAATAATGGACTTGTTTTTGGTAAAATTGTTGTCTGATCTATAATATCCCCATTCAAATCTGTAAATTAGACTACTCTTAATTTTTTGAATTTCTAAAAAGGTGGAGTATCAATATAGGCATATCGTATTAATTTTAAAAAAGGTTTCATCAAATTGAACATATGAAAAGATTGAGCTTAATATAATATCTTACAGAATATTTCTAGAGAATAATTCTAATCAATAAACTCTTTAGCTTATGCAAATCTATTCATAGATACATCACCTAATAAATCAAAATAACTAATAAAATAATTCCAATATTCTAAATTATCATTCATTAAACTTGATTTATAAAATTATTCTAAGTTTTACCATCTTGAATAATTTAATTATTCAGCAGATTAAATATAAATATGTCCTTATTTAATCTTAAAATCAAATTTAAAATCTAAAATTAAGTTATATTAAATAACATACTTGGAGGAGCTAGTTTAAAAAAATTTTCAAGTACTAATCTTTGATTTTCTCTAATAGCTTAATCACTTGAAACACAAATAGCATTTAATATTTTCAGATATTTATCATGAGGTGATTGTTACAAAATTAATTCTATAAGTTTTTTAATAATGTTTTCATTTAAAAATTTTTAAATAGCTTCTCTATTGTTATCTAACATTTCAGATAAAAAAGATTAGATAGCTGGTTAACTTAAACACATATATTAATGTAAAAACATTTCAAGCCATTACGAAACATAAAGTTTTGTTACAATATTATTTTAGATTAGTTTAGTAATGAGTTAATAAGCTGATAAAAAAATCATTTAGATTTCCTCTTTTTGTTTTCTCCAAATTTATAATTTCTTAGTTCCTTTTTTATAACATAAATAATAAAGCAATTCTACTAATATTTCAGTAAAATAGAGCTCTTTAAGGATTATTTATCTTTCAAAAATAGGTAAATCATCCTCATTTTCATCACTAATATCAATTTTATCCATTAAATATTCATTTAAACGATTCAATAAAAATTAAATTTCAAACATTCGCTCAGTAGAAATAATATAAGCAAAATTTTAATGGTTTTATTAAAGTTAATGAACAAAGTGTAGCATTTAATCATAAGCTGAAAATGGTTATAAGACTATTTTAAAAAATGATTATTTAATTCTGTGAATAATAAATGGTTTACTAAAAGCTCTATCTCTAAATCCGCATTTAATAGTGTTTTGTTCATATTTTAATTATTTATAAAAACCTTCAGGTCCTTGCACCTTTTCTGATTTTTTAATTCGACCATCAATTGATGCTTTCATTGAGTATTTTGTTATTATAGATGTTAAGACATTATCATCTCTTATCAAATTAACATAAGATGAATCTATAAATTCTCTTTCATACCTATTGGCTAATTATAAACCAATAGTGCATGAATCTTCAGATAAAATTGCTGGGAAACAATCATGTTCATCAAATTGATCTTAGCAAAATAATAATTTACCAGTTATTACATGTCTTAATCTTAACTATTTTGATACATTTTTTTTACATCTTTGTTAATTATTCATTTATTAATTCTATTCTGTTGCATTCTTTTAATTATACTATTAATTTATTTGATTCCCAGGAAACAATATATTATTTTATCCTATAAATGAATGACGTATTTAAGCTAAAGTTCTAGGTTATAATGTAATTGTTGGTAATTCATTTGTAAATTTATCATGAAATTACAACTCCCATAAACATTCAACAGGAATCTATTGATTATGTAAGGGAGGTTTAAGAACAATTTAATTATTTTATAAATCAGCTCCTAAATATGTGTCAGTCTTAGAACATTTAAAAGTTACTACCTCGTTTGTTTTTAGTTTTAATTTGTTGAGTTGATGCTTTTCATAATTATCATATAATTATATCTTCCATTCGCTGTCAGAATAATGACTAACAATTAATTCATATCTATGAGAATCTTCTTATAATGCTTTCAATTACACTTTCAAACCAGTTTAAGTTGATTTATGATCTAATTATACTGGCTATCTCATATTCTTATCGATCCAAAATTTATTTATATCTGATTAGATTTTTACAGATTATTTAGAAATTATAGGTCTTCCTGTTTATTAGTAATTTTTGCTAGGCTCCATTTTGAAAATAATTCTGCTAGATAAAAATTATTAAAGTCTTAGTCCAAAACTATCACTTCTTGAATCACTACATTCTTCAGAACAAGCTAAATACTATCCTGATTCTACATGCTAAAAGATTACTTCTGAACTAAAAAAAATATATTTTAACAATATACCTAAAATAAACTTCCTCATTCATTTTATTATCAATCATATTGAAATACTATTCTTTTTCAGATTTCATCCTTTATTACAAACTTGGGGATTTATCCCTATAAAATTTAAAAAAAACATCTTACATTCCTTTCAAATATTCATCATGAATTTCAAAACTTCCTCTTGGCAATATTTGAAAAATTCCATCCCGAAAATTATTAATATCTTCCATATCTTCATACGTTTGGAAATAAACAGCATGATCGAAAAAACTAAGAGATTAATATTTGATGGTTTTACCCTTTTGAAGTTATAATACCTTTAGTTCCGTTGCTCCCTTTTCCGCTAATTCTAATAAAAGACCCATAACGTAGATTTTATGATAAATTCATATTTTAACTCATCCTTTTTAGAATAAATATTAAAATTAATTGAAATGCATTTTCAAAATATTATCCATTTTTCATTCTTAACCAAACTAATTTATCTAGTTATGATAAATGCTTTTTTTTTTCCTTTTTTAAAAATTCTAGTCTAGAGAATACAATATTTATAAAAGATTTGTTTTAGATAAAAAATTTATCAGGTGAATTTTAAGAAAAAATTAAATTAATCTATCCTAATATAAAAATAGAGATAAACTTAATTTATATTAGAATCCCATATAAATAATTATATCAACAAGAATTACTATAATTTGTTTTTTTTGCTTTCTTTTCACTTCTTTGCTAATATAGGGAAACTGAATTAGATCTTTTTTTATTTTATAATCATTAAGCTTATTATGATACTTCAAATCAAATAGCTATTTGAGAAATTCATTAAGATTTTTAAATAAACGTTAAGAAATACTAAGTTATATTATATTCTCTTTAAGAAAACTTCATTGCTTATTAAAATAGAGTTAATCTGAATTTAAAAACAAAATATTTAAGAAAAATAAGATTGTGATCTATCAAAATAGTTCATAAGTTCAATAAAATACCACTAAAAGTCTAAATAAATAGAAATCATTTTTTCAAAAATTTACTATACATACTTTAAACCTTTAGAGGATAGTAATTAATTTTGGATTTTTAGAAATATAATTTATAAAGTCATTTTATGAGAATAATGTTGTTTTTAAAAGTTAACTGGTATTAAATATAGTTTGAAAAAATAATAAATCCTAAATCCAAACTCTATTAAATTCATACTCTCTAAGCATCATAATTATAGTTTTGTTATGCAAATTAAGATAAAATGTCTTCAAATATTTTCATTACTTTTATTCTGATTATTATGCTAATAATACAATTTTTCATAGAAACCCTTATAAATATAAAATATTATTGAATATAGCTGTAAACTGAAGTTTCGATCAAGAAGAGTTTTAACTTATAACTGATATTTATTTTAGAGATTAAATATTATTTAGCGATCAGCTAAGTGACGAATTTATCTGTGAAATATTGGATATTTTGAAGATTGCATTTTTTTTAGAATTTATTAAAAAATAAACTATTTTACTTATAAATATTTATAAATAAAATATAAATAAGGGAAAAAATAAGCTACAATCATATGATAATTTTCACATTTCTGAATAAATGATTAGAAATTACGAAAATCTTAACTTTCAAGTTAATTAATTAAAAGAGAATGATCATACTAAAGAAAATGCTATCAAAAAGAATAATCAAAAATTTTTTAAAAGTAAAACCATCAAGAAATTGGAAACTTTTAGACAAAATGATGAGAGTTGGAAAAAAATATTACTATAATTAAATGGATAGAATCCAAAAAGTAAACTGAAAAAGAATTGATAATTCTTGTATCAAAAAGTTGAGAAAAAAAAGATAAAAAATTTTTTATTGCAATATTCTTAAATTGGTTTAAAGTGTTTAAGTGATAAAATATTTTAGAATCTTAAATATGATAAAGGTAAATTTAAAGTTAGAAACAGAGATTTTATAACAGGAAAAATTTTATTCTCGGTATTTAAAATAATTAAATTTGATCTCTAATCGCAATTATTTAAACCTTAACAATTCTAAAATATTATCAATAAAATATTAATTTTTTACAAGTTTTTATCCTGAATATGTTTTCAAGAAAAGAAACAGAAGTTGTGAAAAACAATGAAGTTAATGAAAAGCATAACAAACTTACAAAATAGCCCTCTTCATTTTTTAGATCATTCAGTTCCTCTAAAAAAGGTCCAAAGGATGGAAAAGGTATAAACATAGAGCTAATCGAATAGATTTTCAGTTTTTTGATCGTACTTAAGATTGCAGCTTTTACACAATACTTTATATGCTTGTTAACTTTTAAAAAGTGGAGGATGATCATAAAAGGAAAGGTTTCTCATTATTAACCAACAGTAAACCTATAATGAATATGGAAACATATACTAATCTAAGTGTACTTCGTCCGTAATTTCCATTCATTTTTAACATAGAGAACTGATTTATTTTTTTTCCGTTATTTCAGTGAGAGATTTACACGATTTCTATATTGATTTTTATGCATCATTTGACATAAATAAGAATTTCACTTTAGAAAAAAAAGAGTTGGCTAAAATGTTCACAGTTATGCTTGAATAATTGGGTCATACAAAATTTAAGATCTTTAGTGATAAAACATTGATTGAAGCAGATGCATTTGATGGATAGCTAACATCAAAATTAATTGAAGATATTTCTGAAAATTTTTTAATGCCAGAGGACTAAAGCAAAGTAGATTATTTACTTATCTTCCCATATATTTTGAGTTTTTATTTGGAATATACATATTAAGAGATTAAGAGTAAATAAAAACGTCTAGAAATAATGAAAGGTATTGAAACTATTAAAGGAAAAGAAGTTGAAATTAAGAATATAACAAGTCTAATTTCAATTTTAAAAGAAATGGGAATAGATTATATAAAAGATAAAAATACTTATAAATTATCTTATCGAGATGTAGAAAATATACTTTTAAAATTTAAAAATATTTAAAAATGGATTACTTTTGATGTTATTTCATAAATTTTAGAGTCTCTAAGTAAAATAATGTAAGTGGATAAAAAAACTTAGGAAGAAACAAAAAAAATTAAAGTAAAAAAAATAATAGACTTTTTGTCTCTTAAATTGTGTATACATTAAAATTGTTTAAAAATTAAATAACAAAAATCAAATGTTAATTAATCAGTTTATTTAGAAGTATGTATTATATTGATTTTAGATATCAATACTATGGAATTGTGCTTAAAACTCATCATGGATGTAAGAAAAATTATTCACTTTGAAATTTGAAAAGTATATTAACAATCATTTCCAAGAATAGGAACAATTTAGTAGAGTAGAATTATAAAAATGTTTGGAAGGTTTTTTTAAGAAGTTCTTTTAGCTTATGCCAAAGCAATAAATTTATTAAATTATTTAGTGTCATGAATTATTTAAAGATGATAATATTGCTAAGAATAATAAGATAGAGAGAAATGATTTAATTCAATCATTATTTACTATGGTTTGTTCCGATGGATTTAATAAATTAAAGTAGTATATTAAAATTAAATTTGATGGAATTATCAAAAGTACAGGCAATAATTAAAAATATTCCAATTATGGAAAAATGCTTGATTAGGAAAGTATCTAAGGAGGAATATCTTCATAAAGGTAGCTTTAAGAATAATAGCGATAATAATCCTAAAATATATAGAGTAAAACAGCAATAAATTAAATAAAGAAGGATGAAAGTGATAATAGTGCATCAAGTGGAGATGAGGGAAATAATATAAAAGCCACATAAAAGTTTAAAATTGCAGTAAGGGCAATCTAATCTGGAAATGCTTTAATATAAGAAAAGAATGAAGCTAAGGATATATTAAAAGCTTGCTTGATTATGGATAGTTTTTTGAAACGTCAAACTCAAAGGATTAAAAGTCATGTAAAAGAAACTAAATCTTTAAATAATTCAATTATTAATTCTGAAATTCCAAAGCACTAATAATAATAAGATAATAACATTCTTTTTGAAACATAGTCATAAATAAATTATAAAAAATAAAATGTAATATAAAATGAAAATCGTGGAGGAAAGAAAGAAAAAGAAACTAAAGGATAGGATAAAAGTAATGCTTAAATTGAAAAAAATTAAAATGTTGATTTAGAAGCACTTCAAAATAATTCTTAATTAAAGAAGGAATAAAACTAAGATTTATGTTATAATGAACAAAAAAAGACAAAACATAAGGATAGAAATCAAGTTTCTAATGAATTGTAATTGGTTTTGGGTAAATCAAATGATGACTTTGGACCTAATAATTTTAAAAAAGCAATTAGAGTTCAATCTAAATAAGAAGTAACATAATCATAAAGACCTCTTTTAAAATAAAATGAAGTAAATCTATATTTTATTTAGTAATAAGATAATTTAATATTAATAGATGAAACTGCATTAGAATAAATGATTAAAAGCAATCAAACTAAAACAAGAAACAAAAGTAAAAACTAACCTAAATCTACTAGAGATGATTGTTAATGTAAATTGTTTTGAAATAATACCATTTCATATTTTTATAAAAAATAATTATATCAAATTTTCAAGTTGGATTACTGAAATAGAGTTGTTTTATGAGTTCTTAAATTTTAATCTGAAATAATCTGATTATGAATTAATAATGAGGGATTTAAATTAAGTTTATCCTTATAGACTTTTTTTTCTCAAAAGAATAAGATTTAGATTATAAAAGAAGCCAGTTGATTAAATTAGATTGAATAAGAAAATATTTTTTGACTAATATTTTTTTCATCATTTTAGATTATTATATATATTATAAGGTTGCTCAGTTTGTCATTTAAGCTTTGTTTTGCATTTTATTCCTATCAATTTTAAATTTATTTATTCATTACATTTATTAAAATATTCATGTTTGAGGATGTAAAGTCAGAATCTATCGAAAGCAATCAAAAGGTAATAAATAATAAAATTAGAGATTGATGAACTGAATGTAGAACTATAATAATATTTGAGAAAGATAATAACAAATTTAGGTGAAAATTTTCTTTATCTACATGATATTAGTAAACCATAATACTCTTAAGAAATTATATAATCTTTACTTCTATTAGAATAACATAAAATAAAACTTAATTGTAAGAATTTGTCAAATGATATTTCAAAATAGTTTAAATTGTTAAAATCTGAATCAATTCTTACAAATGAAGTGATTGATTGTCAAACTGATAAAATTTTAGAAATGATTTAAAAATAATCATAGCTTGAATAATAAAATAACGAACTATTAATTAAGTTGATCAACAAGCAAGATGAAAACTCAAAAAAATTAACAGATTTACAAATAGATTGGTTAGGATAAAATAGTAACATATATTGCTCAAACATACATTCATTAAGAAAATCTGAAATCGAAAAGGTCAACTTAAAAATATCATTTTCATCTTACAATTCACCTGAAAGTAGAGGTGTTAGATGGCATAGTATGAATAATCATTTACTGTCAAATATCAAATTAACTCATGTATCTGGGACTCATAACGATAAGAACAATAATTTAAAGAAAGTTAATAAAATGAACCCACTTTTTTGAAAATATTTTAGTTATAACAGTGTTTTTAAAAAAATATATCTCACTTCTTAAATTTCAAAATAATCTAAATTCTTCTAATTAAGAAGGGCTTTAAATAATTATAAAATGGAATTATATTTTATGGAAGTTTACTCGTTTATCAGAACAATTTCTATATTTAGAAGCTCAAAAATTCTTTAAATCAATAATTAATATTTTTATATTATTCAAAAAGCATGACTTAACTTTATTTTTTGTATTTTTATCTATTCTTTTTAGAGATTTTCGTTCTAGGCTTGTGAACATTTTTAATATGCTAATTTAGAGTCTTGCTATTATTGAATATTTTACAACATCTAAAGCATTTATTTTTATTCTTATAATAATCATTTTAATTTACATTTGATAGATTAGTGGGATATTGTTCATTGAATTATAAATTTTAAAGTAATTCTGACATGTTAAACATTTCTTTTTTTACTACAACAGATCTTTCATCAATTTATTTGTCTACCTTTTAAATATAATCAAAAAATTCTGAATGGCTCTCAAAAAATGTGTCATTTTGAGTATTTACATTTTCTTGAAGATTACTTAATTAATTGTTTATTTTATTCTCAAAATAGTTGGATATATTAGAATTCAGGAAAAAGATATCATCATCAGGGCATTCTTATTTCTCGATTGAATCATTAAATATTCTATTTTTATTTAAAATATCTTCCTAGTATACAATCTTTATATTTTATTTTAAGATTTCCTTTATTTATTGAAATTGCTAACTTGAGATTTTTGAATTAGAGAGTAAAAATTCTAATTGTGCAATCTATTTCATAAATTATTGTGAAGGACAAAGGTATTAATGATAGTGTTATTATGCTAAAGTTAAAGAAGTTTGACAATGCTTACAGTCTTTAAACATTATAATCTTAAGATTATGAAGATGTGAATTTTATTATTAACTATGCGTGGTAAAATTTGTCTATCGTTAAAATAATTTAAAATATAAAATGGATGAATATATTACGGTACATAAATCAATTAACTTTAGAATTATGGAGAATTAGAAAGATTAATAGAAAGAATACCAGTGCCAGATATCACTGTTTCTTCTTTGTCTTAATAATCAGAATAAATCACTCCTTAATCAAAAAAAAAATAATCACTTACTCGAGAGTAAGTATAGAAAATAATGAGAAGAGCAACTGAATAATCTCATTTTCCAACGACTAAATAGAAAACTTATACCTTGCAAACTTTTAATTGTAAAGAAAGTTCAAATGATGATAAATTATTTAGTTAAATCTAATAAAGAGAATATCAAGGTAATCAATAATTATAAAAAATGCAACAGCAGGTTTCTGATTAGTAAAAAGTAATTGAACAATAAATCTAATAAATTGCTTAGATGAATAATTAAATTGAATATTTGACGAATGAACTATAAGACTATTAGGAAAGAAGTGAGAATGATTTAAATACATTATAATAGTTATAATCTATAAATGATTAATAGTAAAAAACGATTGAAGAATTAAGAATAGAATTACAAGTGGCAAATAGAGTTAGCTCATAATAATTAAATAAAGAATAAGATTCAATTCATTAGATTACAGAATTAAAATCAAAAATAAATAACTTAGAATCAGAAATAAATAAAACAAAAACAACATTTACGTTAACATCTCCAAAAAATGAAACTATGTAGACTGGTATTTATACGAGCCGCATTGATCCAGAATTATTAAGCGAAGATGAAACATTAAACATGCTTTTAAATTTATTAAGCAGAGTTTCTAAAAGTTAAAGAATGTCCTATTTATTAAAGAAAAATGCTGATTTTAAATAGTTGATAAGATTTAAGAGAAGTTAACCTAGTTTAAATAAAATTTCAATTTTATAAAATAGTAAATCAGTATGCGATAGAAAACTGTCGTATAACTAAGAAAATTTCAAATAGATTGTAAAAAATGTAGGAATTAAAAATCATTGATTACCTTAAAATTTATTTATTTAAATTATTATGTTTTTAAATAATATCTCAGACTCAGATGATGATGATAAAGATGCCCCAAATGTTTGTTTAGATACTCTAGGATTAAGTTAAGAAATTGATAATAAAGTATAAAGTTTAATTAGTTAGCAAGTTAACCAAAGTTTTAATTAAGAATAAATACTATAAAAAGAATTTAGGAGGGGAAGGAGCATTTTATGAAAGCAATGAAATTGATCTTAATACATTTACATTTGAAAAAAATGTATTTGATTAATGTAGAAAATAATCCTTAGAGTCAGTAGAAATTGATTAATTTAAATTGTTAGAGATTCCATAAGGAGCTTCTTAAGATATATTAGATCCATTAATTTTATCAAAATAAGTTAGTTAATCTTAATAATGTTAAAGAGATGCAATAGAAACAAGTAATAATTGGGTATTGGAAGAAATTTAAAAATAATAATAATACTTAGAATAATTAGAAAAACTTGAGTAATTTGAAAAATTAGAACAATAAGAATGCCAAATAGAGATTTGCAATTTTTAAGAGACTTCATTATCAGATTTAATTTCTATTCCTCCTATATGCCCTTATTCTGAAAAAATTTCTCAAATCTAACTACCTCAACCCTTGTAATCGTTTTTAGTTAATTCAATACCTACAGAAGGAATGTTTCAATGCAAAATAATCAGAGATCAATCAGGACTAAATAGATTTATGCCAAAATATAGAATGTACTGGTGTTAAAACAGCCAATTTTTATTAGCCGCTAAAAAATCTTTAAATAAAAATAAGTATATAATTACACAGGATCAAGAATTTCAATAAAACGATTAATAAATATTAGGAAAAGTTGAATAAAGCAAATAATCTAAAGCGGATTATTATTTATTTGATAATGGATAGAAAAAAAAAGAATAAAATGTTAAAAGATTGAGAACTCAAATAGGCAGTGTGTTTTTTGATACTAATTAGGAGAATAAAGGAAGACCTAGAAGAATGGCTTTGGTCTTAAGAAAAAGCGAAAAAGAAATAGTTTAATTTATTAGTAGAAAACCATAAATAATAAATACTTAATAATGTAAAAAATAGATATTCAAATATAGAATAAAAATTGTACTCTTTAGATTTTTATGGAAGAGTTAAAAAAGCTTCTGTAAAGAATTTTTAATTAGTATTAAAAGGAGAAGAAAAAGATTTAATTTATGTATAATTTGGTAAAATTGATAAAGACTAATTTCATCTGGATTTTATGAGTCCTCTGAGTCCTTTGATTGCAATGCAATTAGCTCTTTGTAATTTTAATTATAAAGGAAAATCATGATATTTGGGTTTTGTAAATTTATTATATAAATTATTTTTGAATGATAAGATTTCTTAATGCAAAATTTAATGGATGAAAACAATTAGAGTTTAAAATTTTATTGTTAATTTGAAATTAAGAACAGAAGTTTTTGCAAACTTTAGTTCATTTTTTATTTGTATTAATTAAATTTAAGTAAAATTAGGTTAAAATTAAACTCATTTTTTTCTTTATTTAAATTAATGAATGAATCACTATCGATAGAATACCCATTTAGATTTGGAAAGAGAAGAACTATACAATCCTCATAAACAAACTAAAAAAGTAAAACAAAAACTTTGCCTGCTACTCGATTGGAAGATGTTAGTTTGAAAAATGAAAAATTAAAAATAATTTTAAAGCAACATATTAAATCAGATTTTGAATAACTAAAAATTTAAATTGATGATCTCACTAGGTAGGAGAACAATAAAAAAATTAAAGTTTTAGCCATTATTAATGGATTTACAATCGCAAACTAAAAAAAGAATATTTTAAGATATTTGGAAGCTCTGAAAACATTAACAGCTTCAAAAATAGTTTATTATTAACTTTCTGTTTTACCTATCGATATAAATTTGAGATCAATAGCATTTTTTCCTTAAATCTTAAATATTAATGTTGTTGAAGAACTAAATATTTTCATTACTCCTAAATAATGTTAGAGCTTATAGTATTACAAAAAAAATAAGATTCTGCCTTCTTAGATATTACATTTTCCTAATTTAAAATCTTTTTGCATGACAGTCGAGGATTAAAAATTTTACGAAACTGAAATTTCCTAATTTTAGTATATATTAAATTTTTTTTCTAAATCCGAAAACTTATCAATTCTAAAATTGAATTTTGGAAAATGTTACTTTGAAAAAGTGGAAGTTCTGTAATAAATGATTTCCAAATGTTTTTTAACTTCTAAAAACCTTAAATATTTACAAATTAATGTTAATTCAATTAATAATATCAATAAGATTCATTTACCCATTAATGAAATAGCCTTAAATATTGAATAACTTTAACTTAATTTTGCACATATTCCTTTAACTTCCCAATTTTTTTCATCAATACTCACTATGTTAAGATCATAAAAATAATTATTCTATTTGAGCTTAAATTTTAGTAAATCTAACTTCGAAATTAAAAAGCTATAATCACTTTTAGATACTGTAGTAAAAGTTGACACTCTAGAATTATTTGCTCTTGATTTGAGTGGGAATATATTTTGCTAATCCTTTAACACAAAAATTTAAGAAGAACATATAATTAATAAAAAATAATTAAGATAATTGAATTTACTTTTAAATGACACTGTTTGTCTAAGTGATTAACATACAATTCCATCTCCTGATATTAGCATTTTAGTCAATTTTACTTATAAAAAGCTTATTTTAAACCTTAACAACACAATCTAAACTTATAATACTATAGATATTTTAGGATGTGAACTTGAATAATCAAATTGTTCTGATTTAGTTTTAAATTTGAATAATACAAGATTAAATTATGATCATGTCATTTTTCTTTCAAAGACATTATTAAATTGCAGAACAATTTTAAAATTATAACTCTATCTTAAAAATAATCTAATAGAAACAAGCTAAATAAGTCTTGTATTGGCTTCATTTATTCAAATGAAAATAATGACTTTAAATATATATTTTAATGAGGAGATCAAATCAAAACTTATGAATGATTTTGCGCTTAATAATACTTATTTATTAAAAAGTAATTTAGTTACGAAAAGAATTGAATAATTATTAAATTTGAAGAAACTATTTGTTTCAGTGATACTTAAATTAGAAAAGTAGAAAATAGAACCAGAAGTTATACAATTTATAAATGATTTATATAATCTATGTTGAAATCATTTTATTTAATTTTTTCAATTAAATGAGTATTGAATACAACCAGATATTAAATATATTCTTTATGAGTTTTTTTTTTTTTTGAAAATAAATCATTTACAACAAGTATCTTATGTCTGATTACATTAAGATTATTGGATTTACATATTATTACGACTTTGCATTTACTACTGTAAAGATTAGTCTTAATTTTCTGCTAAAGACTGTTTGTTAATTAATTAATAAATTTCTCTAAATTGATAAATAAAATACCATTTATAAGTCTAGAAAATGCTAAATCTACATTTGTTCCATCAAATGCACTAACTTCCATAAAGGCCATTGTATGATTTTCTGCAAATTAGGCTGCTTTATCACTGGGAACTTTTCTTTATGCTTTCAAATCTGCTTTATTCCTTTTTAATTACAATTATTTTACCCTATTAACATTGCCACAACATTTGTTTCAGCATATTCTTTCAATTCTTGGATCCATTTTTCAATATTTTCAAAGGTCTTTTATTTTGTTATATCATAAATTAGCATAGCTCCAACTGCTCCTCTATAATATGCACTTGTTATTGATTTATATCTCTCTTAACCACATGTATCCCAAATTTATGCTTGAATAATTTTTCCATTTTCTGTTAATGATCTTGTAGCAAATTCTACACCAATCGTTGGTTAACTATCAAAATTGAATTATCTCTTAGTAAATCTGGAAAGGATATTTGATTTTCCAACACTTGAATCACCTAATTATGTGATTAAATACCTATTAAAACTATTTTAAATAAGTGTTTTTCATCTTATTAGGCAGTCACATCCATATTTTTATAAATTAAATATTAATAATTTCAAATTATTTTAATATTTGTTCAATAAAACTATTATAATCTAATTAAAATTTTAGAGTAGTGATTTAAATTCGAAAGAAATACAATATTTGTTAATTTCAAAGATCTATGTCTAGTTTAAATTGCTTTTATTAAATTTTTTGTTTATTCTGTCTAAAAAATTGCATAAAAAATTTAACTTGAATCTACCTTTAACTATATATTGTACCTGTCAAGTAATCAATATAAAAATATCCTAAAATTAGAAATACACACCGATTTAATAAAATATAATTATAAATTATATTTTGAAATAGTCAATAAGAGAAGATTAATCGATTTAGGAATTTTAAATTCAATAGTTTAAATCAATCAATTACATCTTAACCACTGTTAATTTTATATTCTACATACATTTCTTTCAATCAATCAAACATTAGAATTTAGATTAAATAGAATAATCTTTTGGAATCACTAAAATTTTTAATATTTTAATTTAGTTTCATGAACAATATTTGTGATACATAGCTTATAGTAATTACAAGCCTAGGATTTAATTAGAATTACAAGAAAATAATAATGGCAATTGTAATTAAAATTTGAAATCAATATTATCTCGTCTTCATTTTATCTTTGTTATCATTTACAATGATATTAAGTATTAATAGAAATAAACATTTAATTTAAAAAAATAAAAATATTTATTTCAAAATCAATTTTCCTCCTAAGATTAAGCTAAATCAATAAAATCTTGTTTAATATGGCTTTTAGGAAAGTTAATTTATTAAATTTGTGTATAAGGGATAGGTTAATTCTATTATTATTCATCTTGTAATTCAATATGTTACTTTTTAATCAGACTATAAACTTTATCATGTTAAATTTCAACTTTTGCATACTAAGACCACTTTGCTAGTTGAGTAAAAGCCAAATCAAAAATTGATGTGGCTCCAATTACTAATAATGATGTCAAATAAAATTTCTGTTGAGCAAAACTAGCATTAAGGCTATTTGACATTTCAGATTAATTCATTTTCTCTGAAATTATAATAAATAAAATAATATATATGATGAATGAGCCAAAAAGCCCTACAATAACTCCTATACTATAATTGTTACTACATACGATAATCTAATTGTTAAAAAAAATTTATTACTTTTATATTACTAATCAAAACTGAAAACCCTAATAAAATAGCACCTGTCGTCCATAAATCTGACATCATCCCATTATAAATAGAGGAAGTTTCATAAATCGAAAAAGTTAAGCATGATAAAATGGCAGCCTAAATAGTACCATTAAAAATCCAATACAAAAATATTTTTAAATTGAATAATTTTTGTTTTTTATTTATACAATAAATTGCTGGGTCTACAATAGATACAAAATGTTTACTTGAAGTAAAAATATCAGCAGCAAATTCTTAATCAAAAATTGCATATAATACAATAGGAAGACTTGTGAAAAACAAATTATAACTTTCATAAAGTAACTAATCATAAAGCAGTACCGCAGAAAATCCATTGCAAAAAGCCCACCAATATTAAGGTAGTACAAGGAGCATTGTTTTATAAAAATTGTAGTTAATAAAAGTTTAATTTTTTCTATAATTTTCTCTTCCATGATATAGAATTAATCTTTTAAGTATTTTGAATTCTCCTATAGAATAATCAGAAGCTTTTGCTGCTTGTAAGCCTTCATTTCCTTTAATTCCTATTCCAATATGCGCAGCTCTAATCATATTAACATCATTAGCACCATCTCCAATAGCTAGAGTAGTAACATTTGGTTTATTTTCCCTAACTAATTAAACTATATCTTATTTTTATTTTGGTGTTACTCGACAAGCTATTACTGCTTCACATTTTTCAGCAATTTTCATTAATATTGAGGAAAATTCTGGTTTCATCGCAATTTATAAAGCAAAGCCAGAGATTATTAATGAATTTTTATTGTTATCTTAGATTTTCTAAAAAGCTTATTCTAATTCATTACTAACACTTTATTCATTATTTCCATCAACTATAATTTATTATAAAGATTTATTCAATAGTTAACAAGAATAACCAATATTGATGGCAGTTTCTACTTTATCTCCTGTTAACACCCAAATTTTTATACCTGCATCTTTTAAATATTAAATAGTTGGACCTACATCTTCCTACAATTTATCTTCTACTGCTGTTCCACCAATTAATTCCAGTTCTTATTCAATTTTTGCTTAGTAATTCATTATTTAATTATCTTTATTTTGTGAAGCACAACATGCTTGTAAATAACCATTTTCCCATTCTTTAAAAATTTATAAAGGTAATATTCTCTTTGTTAATAAAAGAGTTCTTAAACCAATTAATGCAAACTCTTATAGATCCTTCCACGTCTTCTCTTTTAATTCAGGACTAATTGGATTCATTAAATTTTCCATTATTTAATCAGGTCCCTTTGTATATAAAATAATCTGATTTTATGGATCCTAAACAATTACAGAAAATCGTTTTCTTGTGCTATTAAATTCAAATACATGTATCATTTAATAGAGTTATATTTCACCTCTTATATTGATTATAATTCTGTTTGATTCATCTAATCCCTCAAAAGTATAACCACAATATCGAGCAAAATTGACTAAGGCTAATTCATCAGAAGATTTCGCTTGATAAAGTAGCTAACCATTATTGTTGTCGGCTATAACATTATGACATAATGAAAGGCAAAGTAGGAACTCATGAAGTGGTCCCCTCTTAGGAGTTTAATTCAAATCATTAAAGAAGGTTTCATCACTAAAATCAACTTTTAGAACTTAAGCTGATTTCGAAACTTTCTCATTCTTTATTGTTTATTCCTTTCCATATGATTTTTGATTAACAGTAAGGCATTTGAAATACAACTAATTCTTTGTCAAGGTTCCTGTTTTATCACAAAATATATAATCCACTAAACCAAGTTCCTCATTTAGATTAGATGATTAGACTGATGTCTTTATATCATATTCAGAAGAATATGTTCCTTAATCTATTGTTATCAATATTCCTTAAAAATATTTAACTATATCTAAAGACACAAGCAATAAGATTGGAATTAAGTTGGAAAAAATGAGAATCCATGATCCCCATTATAGCTAAAATTAAATTTTGAGTAATTACAAATAAATTCTTGATAAAATTGTGATTAAATTCTGTATTTAAGATTTCTAGATATGATAATTAAGAATTATAGATTAGTTACCATAAAGAATTCAAAAAGGCTCCTAATCCACACATGATAATCTAAAAACTAATAATACCCACTATTTACTTATAATTGAAAAATAAAAATAATTAATTTATTTAAAGTTCTTTCTAAATGACTACATTTCAATAATTATTTCATTGAATTGAGCATTATCTTTGAGTCGTGTCCATTATAACATACAATTCCATAAATGAAATTAACATTTCTTAAAACACAACCTCTTAAAACCAAATTTTCTTGACTCAAGGTAATTGGTTCATTATTAAATTCAGCAATTCCTCTGAATAGATAATGATAAGGATTTGGTCGTTCATATTTTATAGTCATTTTCAATGCTGATAGATATTCTTCAGTTTGTTCTTAAAGTTATTTTAGATTTTATTGAATATTTTTACATTTGAGATTTGTTTCTCCATCTAAATTTTAAGCATCTATATAAGCATTCCCCCATTTATCTGATGTTTGTATAAGCAAAATATCAGCTGGGATTTATTCATCCTTTTAAACTTTTATTAAATCTCCAATCCGCAGCTCACTCCATTTAGCAATCCTTGGAATTTCGTTTGTACGAATTAAGTAAATTTTTTTATTGTTTTCAGCATCGTCTGATTTGCGTATCTAATAATCTTCAATAAAATCTTTTATCATCTGAATGCAAATTGATAGCGATAATGGTCCCATGACAACAGGTTAACCATTTGTTATGCTAATTAATGACATCATTTGCATTATAGCAATAACCAAATAGTAAAAATTCGGTAACTTTGAGAACTACTCTATCAAATTTAGCGGAAAGAATGTAATCATTGATGTATACTTTGATGTTGTTATTTTATTGTCAGGTAT